TATGGCATCAGTATTTGAAGTCACTTCTAGTGTGAGCCATGATGGTAGATGAAGATGACTATCGAAACCAACTGTTGGAGAATCTGAGTGACATGGCTCAGAATCGATCACAATGGTGTAGGCTTACACATTCTTTGCCTTCCCTTAAACCGTGAAACTAAAATTGCTTTATATCTTTCCTTCCACCAACTAATCCTTTCTTCTTGTACTATATCCTTATACACAATCTTTCTTTTATATATTACTACTATCGAAGTAACTACTTTATAAATTTGGTGTTCATCGTGTTGTGCTAATGAGGTGTGAAAACTTGGATCGATGCATATACGCGACTGGTCCTACGTTGTAGCTGACCGGTTGACGGAAAAGATCTTACGAGTAAATCATCTACATTGACCCATCCTATCATGATGATCAACAATGTGATATCTAGCATTTCTAAACAAAACGCTTGAGCTTGAAAGAAAGTAATACATTTGATACAAAAGGCAGGAGATTATAAAGAATGGTCGCACCTAAATGATCGAGACATGCCATTTCGATTCCTTGTTGGCGCGTTCAATATTGTTGTCTTCCTCTTGCTGTTACATGTTAAATGTAAATTTCCTCAGAAATTATACGCTCTACTGTGACTGTGATGCTGCAGATTAGAGGGTAGCGAATTATCGATCGATTCGGTGACACGTAAACACGTACGAACGACCTAGAGTTCCGATTGGCTCCGCCTCCCTGTCTAGCCCAGCCAGTTGAGTCCAGAACACAAGTCACAACCTCTGAGATATGAATCGTTATATTTCAAACATGTTCTGTTTATATACCAATCAAGCATACCACATCGTACCATAAAATAGAAAACAACATTTTGTACAATATTTAACAAGTGAACAAATATCGACCAATAGGAAATGTCCATTTAAAGTCCAAGGACACCATTGGACTTAACATGATAATTACTGGTATATTCCTCTGCATCCCTAACACGCTCAGGTTCGAAGGTCGTGTGGTTAGGAACCAATGCCACTACTATATCATTACACACGATGGTCAGAAGCAGCACCTGTCAAAGTTATTAGTACTGGAATAGTGGCTCATACCTTCATCAAACGATGGGTAGTAAACTTTGTCTGTCCCTCAACTATCACTATAGACCTTGGACGCCAATTTCAATTTGGGTTCTATCGTTATCTTACTACACCACTTGGAAGCACACGATTACAGGCGACTATTTACCACTGTGATGATTAGAAGTAATTGAGCTATTTTATGAACTATGATTCCTCGAAATAGCGCAATTTAAACCAAACGGTACTGGGTGAGCGCAAACAAACGTATTTCATTCGGAATTAAAAATCAAGCAGGCACCAAGTACAAAAGAATCATTTATTAATACAAAGATTACAACCGTTGAACCTTATATTGTAGTCTACGTTTCTGTCATCGATCTAACATCTTTACTTTATGCTCATCATGTGTCTGTCAGGTTTTGTGTTGAGTACAAATTCTGTGTGATCTAGAATATACTCGTTAGCATTAGGATAAACGACTGAAATTGGAACTGACTCAACTGGGTTCTGGAAATGTACATGATCAGCATGTCGGTCTTGTACTGAAATCATTGATATCTAGAAGTTGGACTACAGATTTTGCAACACCAATCTTTCCCACGAAATTATGTTGGATCTTCAAATCCACAAGTTATAAATAACGTGGCTTCATTTAAAACATATTTCTCACATTGGCTATAGTATTCATTGGAAGTGACTTCATGATAAGGACGAACAACAGTAGATATGAAATCATCCGAATTGTAATCGAAGTCAAGCTCATCTGTTCACCACAGTCAGCAGGTTGATTATACAAGAATAACCCTTCCTGAAACCATGCTGTTGGGGTGAGAAGAAATTAAAAGACAGTAAATATTCATATATACCATCGCATATCAGGGACTCCACGATTTTCGAAGGTGTAGAGAGAAGAGCCACTGGTCGGTAACTTGAAGGTTCTCTGCGTCAACCTCCTTTGATGTGAACTAGCTTCCAGTTTTCCGGTAGTTTGCCTCGGCTTAGAGAGCGTGGGGGCATCACTCTAAGCGCTGTTGCCAGGATTGAGGTTGCTTCCCTCAGTATAGCAGAATGAACCATATCTGGGCCAGGAGAAGTGTCTTTTCTTAGGTGCTGCAATTTCCGGAACACTAAGTCAGCGAGCAGGTTCATTACGGAAAGTCCTGTGCAGTTGCAGATCAAGCTGTTATCAGTAGAGTTGATGGGGTTCGGTCGAAATGTCCGAGCGTATTGTTCAGCCAAAAGGTTAGCGGCGTCGCCGTCGTTGTTGGTCGGGCCGTTAAGACCCAGCAGTTGTGAAACTTCAGTTTTGGTTTGATGAAGAGAGGCCGCATAACAAAATAAGCTTTTCGGATTGGAGACAAATTTATCAATAAGCTTTATCTGATACTGAATCCTGTTTTCTTTTATAGCCTTCGTGCATATGTTCCTTATATGTTTGTATTGCCTGTACGGGGCATTGTTGTCAGTTCATTTGTGTTCTGCCCAACAACTCAAATGTAACCAAGGAGACTGACAATGTACAACTAAAGGAATAAATAGGAACAAACTGCGAGTGCATGCACGGAGGGATTTTCACACACAAAACACTCAAGATGGATCTTACTCATGGTTGTGAACTTGATGTACCTCCAAGCAGGATCGTATGTGTACAGCTACTCCACCCCCAATTCCTATTGTTCTGTCGTTGCGAAACGAAGATATCCCAGGTATTGCTAGCTCCTGGTCCGTAAACTGAGATATCCAAGATTCAGATATTCCTATCAGACAAGCATTGTTAGCATTGCTAAGTTCACGTAGCTCATCCATTTTTTTGGTCGACTCGCGGCATTCATGTATATGCAGTTTATGCTTTCAAATTGAAACGCTGGAGCTTCTTCCTGTTTGTCTGTATGAGCCTTACATGAATGGACAGGTAGCATGTCTACATAAGATTTGCCGAGTTGGTAGGTCCTGCCCTTTACACGTTATTTATGATCCAGATAGTCCACGAATGGAATGGTCAGCTCCAGCTTGCCTTTGTGCTTGATCCTGGCGTCATGTGGCCTATCCGGGTGCATATGGATTCCAGTTGGCAACCGACGTCTGTTGGCACGAAATGCTTTCAAAAATGCAAGCACCATATGGGGGGATGGAAAAGTTATCCTCATTAGCCGGGGTCTAGAATCACTGTCCTTCTTTGCTAGTCTCGTCACATGTTGAGTCATTATGCTTTTGAGCCTCAAGGACTGCTTGATGAATCTCCATTCCCTAATATCAGAGTTCGCTTGACTAGGGTCCATGTTTTCCGGTACAACTTGCACAATATTATTTCTTCCGTGGAAAACTCGCGAGATTCTTTAGGGATGTTCCGGATGAGATTGCGCTCAGAATACGGTATTTTGGGCAGTATTCCTACGTTCCCATCGGATTTCAGTAAATGGCTAGCTAGCAGGACATCCTCTACGTCGTTAGCATTCTTAAGGGTTTCACGAAGTAACTCCGGGTGATTTTGATGCTTAGATTCCTTTCCCTGAGCAAGCCGTGTGACCGTCAAAGGCTCTGTTCTAGGAAGTTCAAGCTTCTTGTTCAATTCTTCACAGAGCATTCCGTCATTTTTGTCCTGCAAACTGACAGGAAGGTCAGGATTGTCTTTGAGGTTCATGATTATTAGAGTAATCAAAAACCATTATTGTTTTCCCAGGTTTTCTGGTGCGTTCATGTTCAGCATCTTGTTGTTTGGAGGTCGAAACACGTTTCTGAATCCTAGGCTTTTTGATGACCGGACGGACATTCTTGAGAGTAGACGGTGCGATCACATCACCAGTTGATTTACGTACAATACTTGGGATGTTCAGCTTAGACGGTGACGCCTGGTACTTTTATCTCTGCTGACGTGGGTTCAATCACTTACACAGTTTTGGGAACCATTATTGCATTCAAGGATCCTGAGCTTGGATACCTGAGTTTGTTGAGGGAGTCTATTACCGTCAACGTTATGATGGTGCTGAGTTTCAGCATGTCATCACTAATACTAATGCATGCTCCATCGATAGTAGACCTGTCAACGTCACTACATATATACTTTTTTCGTTGCGCGCCCTTGTTTGTCTATCCTTTTTATGACTGTCTTTTTCCAAGTGTGCTGACCTGTCAATAGGACAATGATATCACTCAGAAAAACTACTTACTGAGTCTGTTGTAAGCAGTTGCTGTGAGATCTTCGTGGAGCTTCATGAAACCAACCTTCGCAGTTGTCCCACTGTATTCCAGATGTAACAACGGAGAGGCATCCAGGTCGTTTGCATGAATTTTTCATGACTGTATTTACGCAAACTGTATTGCAGATGCTAGCAAAAGCCTAAGACCGTTAAAAAATACACTAAAAACGAGTGAGATAAACTGAACTTGCCTTTACGTGAGAAAACCGAAAAAACCGAATAGTAAGCTGAGTCAAAACCACAGTTAACTATTAAATTGGGTGAAACTCAAAAAAAGTAATCTACCAATCGTATAGCTCAAAATAGATTCTTTAGATCAAAAATGGTACTTTTGTTGCGTAAGAACACAGCAAAAGTCTGGGGAATGCAAGTCATGTTATGACTAAACTTCGCGTTCGAAAAGCTCTGAGAAAAAGTCTTTGACGTTGTTTTTATATTGGGGAGTTAGTTACTGGTACACGACTTTCCCATTTAACCATCAACAATTAGAACCACCTACACTAACGTGCGGTTGAAGCTATGTGTCGACCCATTCAAAAGAAAGTTGGACCAATTGAGAAATTACTTTTGACGGGACTTACGCAGGCCATCAAGCCTGCTGTCCTTTTCAAGCAGAAGCTGAAAATGTAGGATGTTTGTTCCGAGTGTTTTCGTTTTGTCGCTGTTTATCACTAATATTTTATTTCTTCAGGTTCATGAAGGAGAATTACACATTTATATGCCCACTTTTTTTACCATCTGTAATTCAGACATATAGTCAGTGCCAATATTTGTTGACAATGTTCGAAGCACACATCAATTTCTGGTTGACTGAAAGCGCCCAACTGATATCTTTAAGGTCACTGCTGAGATTGGTTTGTTGTTATTGTGTGTAGTTAAGGTTTCTTTTAGTTTTGTGCATAAAAAATAAGGATATTGTTTTGGTTCTATTGGTACGTTACTCAAGATTTCATCTCCCACATCAAGAAACTCCGGTCTAGACTGCATGATTATGTCATAATCATGATTATTTTTATTGTGTATCCGTTTCACTAAGACTATTCTTACCAAGTGTACATACTAACTTCATTAGATTCTATGTTTAGCCAAAATCATTGTATAACATCAGGGTGCAAATGTGAAAAAATTAAGTGGTTTATACCCATTGAGATCTCAATCTCGAGATTGAAATCTCCCTATTTTTGGGAAAATTTCATCTGGTTTGGGTAAATTTAAGGGAAACCACTATAAAAAAACCTTAGGAAAACTTTAGGAAAACAGCAAAAAACTCAAAATTTCCCTAGGTCTGAGGAAAACTCTCATATTTTTAGGGAAATTTTGGGTTTTCCCAATATTTCCACAGAATCATATAACACTTTAGGGCTTTTCCCCAAAGTTTACCGAAGATAGGAAGATTGGATATTAGCGTACAAGAGTACTAGATGTTGGTCCTTAAAAAACCTAGTGCCTAATTTGATTAGTTCCTAACACCTTCCTAAGTCCATCCAGTGAGTGACGGGGATAAACCGCATTGAAATCATATATATGAAAGCAAGCCCCGATCGCATTATGTGTTTTCCATTTTCAATTAAATGTATGTTATGACTAGTAGTTAATAAAACATAATTCTTTGAGTTAAACTAATAAAGTAAGGTCACTTAGGTGTTCAGGAGTAAGAGCTGTAATTTTCAGTGGAATAAAGCATATCATGGGATAAGTGAATGTTGAGTATTTTATTTTCATTTTATTATTATTCTTTTCCGTCACTTCATGAATTTTCAGACTGAAGTTTGTCATGCTGCTTTGGTAATGGGTATGCCTTCCCATGTCAAGCAAAGTATTAAGCAAGCTCAACTGGTACTCGAATCATTGAAACAGGATCATGAACAAGCTTTATCTGCCTTAAGTACATTTTGTAACTCAGAAAACAGTCATTCATCACCAAATCTTAACACAAGTCTAGAATGTGAGAAAGTCTTTAATCAAGAGAAAATTCCAATAATTCAAGCTGCACTAAAACAAATCGAAAAGGGATTAGACGACTCAGAGGTTTTTTCTGTATAGAGTAGTTTCTAAAAATATTAAGGTTATGATTACATTTGCCAAATATATTGAACATTTGGAAGCTGAGCTGTTAAAGGTACAGTTGCACAATCAAAGGTTAACTGAAGAAACTTGTTGGCTTCGAGATGAGCTAAAGTACACACAAACAAAACTGGAGGTAACTTTATTGTGGATATGTATAACATGGGTAATATAGGAAAACGAATCGCTGCTTGCTCAAACTGAAGTCGAAAAAAAACATCTTGAGTTTATGTTGGATTTAAAGAAATATGACATATCTTCCAACAGCTGTGATACTGAAAAAAGTAAGGTTTTATTTATTTTTCATGAAGTATTTTTCCTGTGCTTTACAAACAGATTGGTCCGATTTGTTTTATTAGCTTTGTACGGAAGTAACGTTGGGAAACTAGGTTGAATTCAGTTTATTCCTTACTGACGAGTACTTATGTGGTCCTATTAAATTATAGTTTGGTGCATCAGCTAACTTCATGACACTTATATACTTTAGCGTTGACCATTCTGAGTGTAAACTCGAAATTCGTTTTACCTACCTCGGTTTGAGAAGCGAGGTAGTATCACTATTCCTAAAAGTCGGCTGTACAAACTTGTACTAGATAAATCAGTTACGGTAAATAACGGGTAGAGCTTCAATGTGTAGTATGAATAGTAATGTCAATCTTCTAGGTTGTTTGTTAACTATGAAATATATAGAAATTACTTTTCGACCCAAGTCTAAATTGAGTTTTCCCCAGGTTCCTTCTACCTGCAACCGGATTTTTGCAGGGCTCGGCAACGTCCCATATGAAAACTAATTCGCGTCTACAAGATTGTATTGGCTCGTGCTACCACTTTTTTGCAGCTCAGTGAGCTATGATCAGGAAAGACTAGTAAGCATTTAAAATTTCAGGGTACCAGGAATCTTGAAAAATTCTAGTAAAATATATCAAGCACAAGTTAGAAATAGGAGCAAAACGTCTAGTAATAAATAAACGGATGAGTATAAACATAAACGTATCAGGATGAGTTGCTTTATTCCCTGGAACAGAATAATTTTCAAGATTTAAGGGAAGGTACTATATTTATTTGAAGTCCACCTGTTTGAGATCCGACTGATTACCGCAATCAGTTTTATAATATGGCTCGAAATCAATAACAGTGGCTCATATTTGTTCACCCAATATGAATATAGTTTCATACTTTTCGAACCATACTCCTAATATTTACTTCTCATTTTCGTTACTACTACATTATTTCGACTTCTCTACCATTCGTGTTGTTAATCCCATTTCATAGTGCCATTGGGATTTGCCAACTTGAGCTAAAGCATATTTTCCTAAGGCTATAGACTGATTATGATTGACTAATTAACGTTAGAAAACGTCTATAAATTTATATACAATGGAAATTTTGCCAGGCAATTCATCCTAAGTGAGAAAAAGACGATTCGTAGATTGAGATTTATATCACATCATAGTTTTAGATCTAGAGACGTCTCCAAATTAATTGGCTCCCATATTCGTTCGTAATAGCTTACTTGTTAATTGCCTCTCCCCGAATATTTCAAGTATTTTGCAAATAAACTGAAACTGTTGCCTTGTTTCTTTACCATATTAAACAGTGCCTAGAAAATGTATCATGTTAGATATGACACTTTCAATAATTCTCTTTAGACCCTCCTAACGTCACATTTCTTATTGTGGCGAAAATAGTAAGGACAAAAAGGTAGGCAAAAAATGTCAGCGAATAACCCTCTAAACCTATGAGGGTTATTTGTTGAAAGTTGATTAAATATTCTTGAGGTTGATAAACATGATCCATGGAACTAGAAATGTATGTGAATCACTCTGAAAAACGGTTAGTTGGCCCCGGGTTCCTCATCTGTTACTCGCTACTTATCAACAGATAAAATGGGAGATAGAAATCCGGGTTATATAGCGAAGTTAATGTCCTAACTGACCTAAAACTAGCGAGATCACTGGAATCTGGTGATTTGTGACAGGTCTTTAAGCAACTTATGTGGCGATCGCAGGAAGTCTAGGATGCATTAATGCCACGTCTAATAATAAAGCGTCGTATAACTTGGTGCTGCAACTGTTTCATTAGTTCTAGTGGATTAGTGACTGAAAAATTCTTTATAGGCATAGGAAACCTAATTGATCTTTTGTCCCTGAGAAACGTCTTTGAGAGTCGGTGGGCATTGCATGTAGTACTAACTTACGCCTGTTAGTCTTTGTGGAGCATAGGTCACCTACCAGGATATCCCAATCAATCTGAGCTGTACTTTACAGTTGTTTCCAAGTGCTGTTCATTCTTTCGATGCTTGCCTTCAAACCCCGGCTCAAAGTATTCGGTCTTTTCTTTTAGCCTTGAGCCAGTCAGTCAGCTACAACGTAGGACCAGTCACGTATATGCATCGGTCCAAGTTTCCACACCTCATTAGCACAACACGATGAACACCAAATTCATAAAGTAGTTACTTCAATAGTAGTAATATATAAAAGAAAGATTGTGTATAAGGATATAGTACAAGAAGAAAGGATTAGTTGGTGGAAGGAAAGATATAAAGCAATTTTAGTTTCACGGTTTAAGGGAAGACAAAGAGTGTATAGACCGGCGCCATTGACCTTGAGGATCCCAAGTTAGAGCCTAACTTATGATGTTTTAAAGCACTCTTTAGTTTTGTCAAAACCACCAAGATCGAGCACTTATTATTAGGTAGAACCAGTAAATCGGTTTGTTAGGATAGTAATTGAATAAGTTAGTGGAGACATTTCTTATATGTATTTTGTATTAGTTAAAATAAGGCCTTGAATAACCAAAATAGACAATCATTGGTCTTTTAGGTTGCTAGCTGTTGTTCTAATCTTTTTCAAATGATAATAACTTCAGTCATGATAATCGTTCAAGGCATTTAGGAAAATGTCCCAAAATCCTACCAATGGATTATATGCAATCATTTTATATATCTTCCCTTGATTTGGGGTTTTAGCGTAATTTCGCAGAAATTATCCATCGATTGTATTTGTTCTTTCTGTGATTTTCCTCAGAGTATTTTGGTACCACTCACTTTTCCTCTGGTTGATTTTCTTTCTCTTCCTTGATGTAAAATGTACCAACTTAAACCAACACATCTGTAGCAGGCCCTATAATATTATTTGCCTTCAACTGCCATAGATAACTTCATTGTCGTGTTCGTGCGCATAATTTGTTAAACTCACTGAATAAATATTCATGTGCTCGACTATAAGTTACACTGTATGACGGTTAGTGATGCCATTCAACGATCAAAACTGAAGAAGGTGAAATGGAGTTCGGGCTAGTCACCTGTTGATTGGAAGTGAAATGATTTGACCACAGAGGTACCGTGTGAATATATTTTTTCATATTTCCATTAATTAAAACTTCTTATTCACCCTATTTTAGTAAACGTTTTCGCTAACGATAATTCTTTGACTAATTGCAACAAAATTAATTTAGATCCATCTTTTAAACATTTGGAAGATGATCCGCCGATGATGGTTGCATCTGTTCTCGGCCTAATGAGTTCTCCAAACCATTTGAACACATCTAATCATGTAGATCGATTCGATACACACAACAAATTTTGGAAACCGACTACAACAACAGCTACCACTGTTTCATCATTTTCACCATACAACCACTTAGAAATAAGCGGAATAATGAATACCAGTTTACTTGATGCGGATATGGACTCACTGTCAGTAAATCGAAGTCGCAATCCAAGTGAATTCCACGGTTTAAGTGGACATCGGAATTCCCAGTCAATTTATGTTCCTCCTGGGCTTAGAACACTACATCACATAGCCTTACGTTATACAAGTCAGGGAAAGCATGATGTTGCAGCATCTTTATGTTTACAAGCTATTCGAGATTTAGAAGGATCTGGTGGTCGTGACCAAGCTGAGGTTGCTGCTCTACTGAATATCTTAGCTTTGGTTTACCGGTAAGTCGCATACACATTATAAGTTATATTTTAAAGAGTTTTGGCTTTAATGTCAATCTATTAAATGGAAGTGACTTCATTCTAACGAACTGGATCTTAATAAACTTTGTGCACACCGAAAAATCCTGTTGGGAATTGTTATAAGTTTAGTTCATTATATATCATTGTGTGCTTATCATCAGAAAAAAATGTAACTTTTTAAAATCCGATCTATTATATCCTTATTTTGATGTTCTAAACACATTTGTTTAAAAAATTTCATATAACTTGTTTTTTCGGCAAATCGAAACAAAGTTTCTTTAAGCTTTTTTAAAATCATTAGTGTCTGATGATATTATTTGTAGTTTCATGCAAACTACTTTACATTTGGTCGCTTATGTGTTCGCTCGTCAGTTACATATTTCGATATCCTACTTATATCTGCTGTAATGTTGATTAAATAGGGATTTTTAACAATCATTTTGTTGGTAAGTTTACTAACTAGTGTTCATTTTATTCATTTGCTGTGTTTTTTGGATCTTTCATGTCTGAATAGTGATTTTTTCCTCTTTTGTTTAATGCTTTAGTGATCAAGGAAAATACAAGGACGCATCTGATATTCTCAAAGAAGTAATTAACATACGAGAGAAACTTTTGGGACCTAACCATGTGCTGGTATGTTTTTGATGTTGAAAAGTTACGTAACATTCTTTTATGAAAAAAAACGTTTGACTTAATCATCAAGAATAGAGTTCACCACTAGACTAGATCGGTTTCACCCGAGCATCAACATCATGATCAAGATATTAATCAGAAAAATATCGGATTTCTGCAAGAAAAAAAACTAAAACGCTTATCATTCTTACCAATTATATGTAAAACTAAGTTCTGCTGCATAATTCTCATTTTATTTTTGTTCATGTAGTTTAAAAGAATTTGGAAAAAGAGAAATAAGATTTTCAAAGTATAGTATTATTAGACTCCTAAATCTCTTTATTATCCATACGTTTCGATGGGATTTAGAAGTGTCATATTTCAAAAAAATGTGATTCAAACACGTTTTATGCATTGATCTTTCTAACAAAATTTCGTAATAAATCTATATCGTACAATCGAAGTTGCGGTAGTGTATCAATGGTTTTCATCGTTTATTCAGTAATTAAACATTTAACACAATGATGTTTTTGAAGTTTTCTCCCATGATATTGAAGCGGCTAGTAAGTATTATCTTTGTGTTGTTGTAACTTCTTCCATTTTCTTTTATATTTCCTTTTTGCTTGCTTTTTCCTCAAAACTATTATAGGTAGCAGCTGCTTTAAACAATTTGGCAGTTTTACATGCTAAAGCTGGTCGATTTACTGAAGCGGAACCGTTGTGTCGGCGAGCGCTTAGTATACGGGAAAAAGTAATTTTTTCTGCTTAAACTTGCATTTGCATTTACACTTGTAAATAGTATGAGTTAGGCAAAGGTTCCCAGTAACCAATATTAGATATCATCAGATCCCAAAGTAACTCCGCAACATTCGAAGTTTCGACTATTAGGTCTGATTGCTAATAACACGTCCAAATTTAAGGATATCTTTAAATAAAGCAAAAAGAACAATCAGAGAACGTCGCTTTCAACCCGCTTTGCAGAAGCTACCTCCATCAAGCGTTTTCAATCTGACCTTCGTATACAGAAAGGAAGTATGGCGAACCTCTCATTTCCCATTATAAAATAAATATATTGTTTTGCCATTTGTTCATTAGATAGTCTCTTTATTGTAATCTATATTTCAAGAAATTCCATCGAGATTCACTCACGAAGTTAACTCTAATTTTATGTTGACTAAGTAGCTCTATTACTACTCATTCACCAATTTTTTTGTCTTTTCATTATTGTTTATGAAATCACCCACTTTGACTTCATTTTGAAGAAATTACTAGTAAGTCTAAAGTATTGTCAGTGTGGAGTTGTGGAGATCGTTGAATTTTATTGAAGTCATGAACCTATCTAAGTTAGAACACCATTGAAAACCTGTAAGCATTAGATGGTTGTTTCGTCCTAGTATGGAACTCCTCATTAGTGCGCATGTACGCTCTCGCAACCAAGAATCAAATCCACTGGGAAAAGGAAGATGGTCGCGCAATGCTGTAGATTGGTTGAAGCTAGATTTGCAAACTACTGGGTCTGTTCTCAGTGGTTTAGAAGCTAAGCGTTCGCCCAGAACTGTAGGTCCTGATCTCGATTTCTAGTTTCGGGGCGGTAGAAGCACACCTCCGGGTAGTACCATGCTAAAACGTAACGCCCGTTCAGTGTTTCCTAGATTTCAATGGTTGCCTAACTTAGATAGGTTCATGATTTCAATTGAACTGAACTATCAATCTAGGTATGTTTTTTCATCCTGTTTCTTCTGGATTTTCTTTGTGTTTTCGAACTCAACTTCATTGGTTGGTTTATAATAATATAACTAATTCTAACTTCAGGTCGTTCCCAGCTGATGAGAAACCTTGAAATATAATGAATTCTCACTATTCTACAACTCTTATTCTTCTCACTTTATTTAAATTCACCAAAGGATCAGGATACATATGTAACTGATAGACCTTCTGCTCAGGTTAAAACCTTTGTTTTAAATTCCACGGCTAATTTCTATTAAAAGCATTTAAATGTGATCAGTAATAATTTTGTAGTGGTCATATAGAACATCAGATCAAATCAAACAAAGTGTGACACTTATTGGTTGGTTAGAATGAAATAAGAACTTCCAACGTTTTCTCACTAGTATGCATCATCTATCTGTAATTATTTTTATTAAAATAAGCATGTATTTATTTATTAGAACCATCTACTATTTAACGATTTCATAGCTTATATTATTCCAAATATCATATTAATAATAATATCATATGATTTATTCATTTTGAAAGTTTTAGTTATATTAAGTGTGATTGATATGGAATGGAAGGGGATTGATTGAATTATTTCCAAAGTCATAATATGTAGGTGAGAGTGTGAGCGCACGAGTTAATATTTAAGTTTACACGTTACATACTTTGGTAATAATAATAAAAATAATAATAGAAGTACCCATGATAAGTTCATAAAGTCTAATTCATTTATCGGACATATGTTTTCTGTCTTACATAAATTTTGTCATTATTTTCTAACTATAATCATAGTTCATGGGACCTATGCAGTACAGCGTGCAATCTACTAAAATGTTGGTGTTGTGGTCTTTAAATTGGTCTCCAGCTCTACAAGTGTCCTTAAGGTTTTTACTGTCTTCAAGGAGACTATTTTCGCCAAACAGTTCTTAATCATTTGGCACAACAAATAACTAGAAATCGCTATATATATATTCAGTTATTGATCAAAAGTCACACTGAAATTAACATGTTCTGTGAGATCTATCGTGTTCTAGTTTGAATTATGTGTAGGTTTACAAGAAGGTACATGTTTTTGCATGATTTTTCCGTGGAAATGTATCTTCAGTTAGAAGAATAAATCTTTTTTTCTCATTTCTGCAACAATGTTCACAGTCATATAATACTAATAATATTGGTAATAATAATTATAATTGTTACTAGAGCTCACAATATTCATTTTAAAAAAGAATTACTAAATCCTGCTAATTAGCGATGTATATGAAGAATAGTGTTGAGCTGAAAAAGTGTATGAAATCTGAGATCAGTGTGAACTTTATTGTGTTTGCAAGCATGGCGGTGTCAGTAGAAACTAATGGTGGTTAGTCATATGGTTTGAAGTCCTTCTGTATCTTGATTTCTGACAATGCTACGTTAAGACAGATTCACTTATTTGAATACAGACAAATACAAATCTAAATTTTAGCCAATTAGCTATTATGTCTTAGTTTTTCTTCCTTAATTCACATTTAAAGTTTGATAAAGAACAGAGATTAAAATTTACTTGAGATTTTTTAAATTTTTTCCTTGGTTGCGTTCATTCTATCTCTGTAAACAAATTTTCCATTGTTCTATGCTTGTACATATTCTATACAATAAATACACAGATTTGGAAAGTTCTTAAAACAGATTAGTTCTTTTCAAATGAATCAAGCTTTCCTATGAAGACCGTAAATACTGCAAAAATGATGCAACGCTAGGACAGTACTCAGCTTCTTGTATCTTCTGTGTTTTCTATTCAGTAGTTTATTGTTCGTATGGCTGACGATCAATTGAACTTAGGAAAATCGTCTGTGCATATAATTGTAAAACGAAGCAATTAAGTGACTAATTTCTGTAAACCTTCAAGTGTCTCGAACAGTCTACACAGGAATAGGAAAAGCGTATTTGCATAAATGGTCGATAGTTCGGAAATGATGAAGTTGATATACTGCAATTCTTATAAACTAAAGTACTTTTTAAAATCCTCAGTTTGTATATACTCCAAGCAGATTATATACGTAGTTTTCTTAAATATAATCAGGAATATTATCTTGTTTAGCCGAGTTAAGTTTGATATCATTATAATTGATTATTATTATAAGGGACCAGTACTCACCCATTTTCATAACGAATCACCAACATGTACTAATGAATCAGTCAATTAGTCAAGGAACAACATAGGATCTAGGACAGAAATGCATAGACCCCAAAATTAACACATAGAAAGTGGAAATTAACAAAATGAAAAGCTTTGAAAATGAAAACAATTAACGTCAGGCTCAGTAAATAGATAAATACAGGAATTATAATTCAAAATGAACGAATGAGATCAAAGGATAAAACTCATGAAATGATAATGAACTCAAAATTTGTAGAAAGATAAAGATTAAGCGCGACTAAATCTCTACAATCGCTTTTTGATTAGATTGTCTAAAGTTCTCAGACCAAAAGCTATGTATTTCCTCAACATAGGTCATTTGATGAATCATCCCCATGTCTTAATTTGACGCTCTATACACATTTAATCTATTAAGTCATCACTTATTAGTTTTTTATTCTTAGCGTTCGCACTATTACTAAACAGACGAGATTATAATTTATGGACAAACCAATCAGGTATAAGATAACAGGTCTAGGATTTTGGCACGAGATTCACCCGTCAATTTGGCTAAATAGAGTTTTGTCATTATAGCTGATATCAGTTCGTGATGAAAACCCTAAATCTAATTCCTAACCCTAACCATGAACTGTATATCATAATTCTAATTCCTCACACTGGTTTACAACCCTCATTTGGTCCTGGTTATTAGGTGGACACTCTCAAGGTCAGTTTAGCATCACTCAAAGGTCGTTCATTAATTATAGTCTCACCACTAAACATTTTAATCCTGGATGTTAGATTTTAGAAAATGATTTGCAATACGGAAAAAGTTCCAAACAATCATTCGATTTTCTGTATGGTATCATATTTCTTTAGCTAATGTTATCACAACATAATATATATCCACAAATTATTCAGTTCCTTCTCCTTTGCATCTTGAGATTAATCACTTTCATCAATCAATCCATCTCAAATAGTTGCATTAAATATTTAGTTCTACTTCAGTTTGTTTTTATCCTACTGATTTTGTCACTCAATATAGTTTAGCAATATTTTTCGTATTTTATATGTTCTCCTTAAAATTATTCAAGTGTTTATTTTAAGAATAGTAAAATATTCAAAAGTTTTAATTATCAGTTGTGTTTGATTACTTTTTGTCAACTTCAAGATTCCAGTTACTTTGTTAACATGATTACGTTGCTTGGGTGAATGTAAATATGTTTTCCCTATTAGTTTATTCAAAGTATGTATTGATCGTTTTTACCCTTCACTTTTCTTGTTTTGATCAAATTTGAGGCTGATTGTATAACTTCTCTATTTTTCTAGTGTATGTTTTTTTGTTTTCTCAAATTTCCCCCGATAAGAAATTTGTATTTCGTATGGAGAAGAGAAACATAGAAATCCTACCTAGATTAAAGTGGTTTATTATTATTTACATACATACACACACACGCTATCTAAAATCTCAGTTTTATCACTTCACAACCAGATATTTGGTTTGAATCCTGCGTGCAAGATTGTGGATGCACACTTTTGAAGAGTCCCATCCTAGGACGAAACGGCCATCCAGTGTTTCAGGGTTTTCAATGATAGTCTAATATTGATCCATTCATGATATCAATCTAAGCTCAACAATCTCCACAACCCTTTACTGATAAAAAAATTAAAATGTATTCACACGATAGATTTCGGAATCCTATGTTGCCTTTATTTTTATTTTGGTTAAGTTTATTGTTGTTGTTCTCGTTTATAAATGATTACTTCTAATTTCGAAGGGTTTGTTGCTGTTAAAATTGTACAAGATAAGTTAAGTTGGTTGAATCTAATAATTTCCAATCAATTGATTAGGCTGGATTCAGTTTTCTATTTGGGAAAAGAAAGCAAAAATCACTAACTTATGTAAGTAAGTTCAAAATTGGAACTTGAAATTGTAGGGAAAATATTCATGATCTAATATAATATCAGTAAATGTGGATACTTTCTGCTAACATTGAAAAATAAACGTTTTTTTCTGTTTTGCACTGATTTTACTGATTTGATGATAACCTATAAGAGTCCTAGTTTTAATTTAAGCAACTCACAATTGATTGATCACTGGGTGGTAATCAATGTCATGCTTGTCTAGTCCTTATTAGTGCAGATCGAATGCTATCGATCATGTTGCAATGTGGCCACCCGTCTAGGTGACTCGACACTGCGGGCACTATGTATTGAGATCGATAGCATTCGATCTGCACTAATGAGGACTAGACAAGCATGACATTGATCACCACCCAGTGATCAATCAATCGTGATTACATCTCAGTCCTACAGGAGGTTAGTCACGGCTCGGATAGCTTAGTGGTAACGTCTCTGACTGTGAAGCTGGGTGACACGAGATCGAATCCGCCAGGGTGCACTAGTTCCCTCAAGATTACAGGTACACCTTGCTGACGAGTGCCAAGTAGCACGAAGCCCGGGTCCAGGGTTTCCTGTTGACTACGTCCAACCATCATCTAAATTTAAGGAACTCTCTCGACAGCACGTGATAAATATTCTGTTAAATCTAATTAAACGATTGTTTAGTCCTTCTAGGTTTTCAGTATTTATTCGGTTAATATCACTTCATAAATTGAAATGTTTTCCTGTTAGTATTATTTACATAATTTGATTAATTGTAAGATTTAATTGTGATCATATTGCTGTATACTTGTAATCCTATGGTTTTGACTAGGGATAGTTCGTCTTATTTTTGTATTGTTTGACAGTTATTATAATTTATGCATATACGTGCCAAGTTCTACTTTGTGTGTATGACTGACTGACTGACTATTATAATTTAAGCACGGCTTAACATTGTCTAGTTTACAAATCCTTCCAAAACTTACTGAGTTACACTTTAAACTAAACAACTGTAGGAATTCAATGCTTTAACATAATTAATACTTATGAAATACTGGTTAAAGCAGAGGACTTCCAACTATTAGATCACAAACGTTTGTGATAGTATCAATAAATCTCACATATTGGGTGACTGAAACCGGAGTAAATAAGGTAATCGGTAGATGATTTATACCATTTATTTTCTTATAATTCACTATTCAGTGTTGAAATCATTTTTTTTTCATTCTTCCATTAAAAACCTATTTGATTTGTATATTACTTAGTTTCAGAATAAAATTGTTAGGCGTCAATAAGAGATATTTTTGAGTCTTACGGAATCTTGAAATGACTAATTGAATGGTTTATTTTAACCAATATTCTCAACACAGTTGACTCCCATTTTATCGGTGTATTAAAAGAAAATCTTATTTTAATAGAATGTTCATGAAATGTTGATCGTGAATAATTTGTGATTTTGTTGTTTAGTGAACATGAAAGTTAACAATTATTTTTTGAAGTTAGTTTTTAATTGAAAAGGGGATTAAAATTCACTATTGATTGTATAGTTATTTCGTTCTATCTCAGAAATAGTTATCAGTTTCTATGATCGATCACTCTCGAGATTATGGTTTTTAAGTTTTATAGTTAGTGTTCGATCATTCAGTTATTGAATAATAATTAAGTAATGTACTTCACAATTAATCGCTACTATCCTTTAATCTCATCACTGTGTGTTGAGAAATACACTATTTTTCCAAAATGGAATTTTTCTTAATAATTACCATTACTTTAACTAGAGCTGGTTCATCACATTGAGTTGTTCATTCATTGTCCATAACAGTCAATATTTGGTAAATATTCTCATTTCATTGTCTAATTCTACCATTAGAACTTTGAACAAATCTATTCTTGAGCACATTACTTATGAATCATTTAAAAAAGACCAAATAATCTTACAATACTAACTGGTTTTAAATACTTTTTCTTGTACATAATGAACTATATCTTCAGATTAATCGAATTCTCATAATCACAGTTTAACGAAAATGAATTTTGTGATTTATTTATTTCGACATTAGAAACTATATCTCGGTATATCACTTTTGTGTATACCATTTCGTTTTCTTTGTTTTGTTTAAAAGTTATTAGGTGCAGATCATTTGGATGTAGCAAAACAATTGAACAATTTGGCTTTACTTTGTCAAAGTCAAGGGAAATTCGATGAAGTATGTTCTATAATCTTATTATTAATCTTTAATTTTTTTTTACCATAGTGTTATCCATGTATTACTTATTATCGTATCAATGGAATGATATCCTAAGACTTTAAAATACGATTCTCTTTCATATTTCATGTAAATCCAGTATCTCTGGTGTAATCAGTAATTTTCATTACAGTAAAAATAACTCAGATCAATGGATTATATTGTTCTCAGTTGCACGATATTACTCAATCATATGTTTAAGGTTAACGAGGGAAAAGAATCACTGGGATGTTAATTATTGACTTCCATTTCTATCTTAATTACTTTTTTTATCAACAACATAACTCTTTGTGATGATATTAACACTCGCGATACTTAGTTATAAGCTGAATTAGTCAACGTGTTTATTTACTTTTAAAATGTTTGTCACTGGAATCTAACAGAGTGGTTCAACTGGAGATCCAATGTTTATAGTTTCGGGAAATTGGAATCAGACGTTGGCTTACTTTAGTGAGATTCGTTGTATATGGTTCTATATTCCTTGAAGAAATATAAAAAAATGTCTTGAAGTACTTAAAGCTGTACAAGGTAGAAATCGCAGATCATCAAAGCTGATGTAATTACAGTATATTATCATAACTTACAAGATATTTTGCAGTGTTTTATGATAGTTTTTGATCTTACTTTGTTAGTGGTTAGCGTTTTTTAGCAAGGTTTTTCACGGGATAGGGTTGGGGACCCCAAACCCAGCCCTCTTCTTTTATCCGGGCTTGGGATCGACAGTAACCCTAGAAGGGCCAAAGTTGAAGTTTTTGATCCTAGTTAGTCAGTAATGTGTAACAATTGAGTAGCATGCCATTTGGGAAAGGTGTATGTTTATTCTTTTTGTAAAAACATTTCAACGACCCTTTTATTCGGATTCATTAGCATTAAGAATAAATCCATATGTCTCGACCCTAGAGGTTCTCAGTTTAACATTGTGATAGGTGATTAGGGTCACTATCGGATTTTTCTAACATGGCAGAATCAAAAGAACTGATAAATAATGGACTGGTGAAAAGTGAAATGAACTATATTTTATTATTCCTATGACCCTAGTTCGATAATGAAGAATACGATGATCACTAGTTATGAACAAATTACCTATGGAAAACCATTGTACCGGTATTTTGTTGAATAACATTACACGATATCGCCATAACTATCAAGGCTTAGTTACATATCCCTCCAGTTCTCTCTACTTTCCTCAGGTTTTATATATTCCTGTTCAGTACTCCAGTTATTCAGTTTCTGTTGAGATTTCAAGCCTATCAAACTTATGGAAATGCATTGATCTTACTTAATGTAATGCGTTTATCTAGTTGAGGTTTGGCTTTTTTTTTCCTATACTCCATAAACTTTTGTTTCATCTTCATCATCGTAACTCAATTTGTTTTGAATACTAATATGCTGATTCATCTATGAAAACTATATCAGTTAAGAAAGATTTGGATTTGTTCAACAATGATGCTTTTGTCCAACAAATGTTGTTTCTAGTATAAGTTTTAGATGAATCTATGTTTGTGTATTTCTTTCTGTGTACCATGTATATTTACTGTCATACAGAAATGTTTTGCCTTTTTTGCCTGCTTATTTCCTTCCTTCCTTCCTTCCTTCCTTCCTTCCTTCCTTCCTTCCTTCCTTCCTTCCTTCCTTCCTTCCTTCCTTCCTCCCTCCCTCCCTCCCTCCCTCCCTCCCTCCCTCCCTCCCTCCCTTCCTTCCTTCCTTTCATTGAGTTCACTTATCTAATTGATTCATCTTTCCATTCCTTTATAAACTGGTCAATAGCGCTTTTATTTCAATTAATCTGTTAGAAAAATCAGTTATGTCTATATTTTCATTATCATTTTTGTAAACTTTTGAAATACAAATTCTCCTCCCACCATTTTTCAGCTAGCATATGATAGGACTCATGTAAACTTTTGTTCCTTAAGAATTTTCGCCAATATGTATTATAGTTTAATTCATATTCTATTTTCTAATAAGTATATTTGTTTCACGGCCAAACCAAAACGTTGCATCAATGCTTGAAGACACTAAATTCTGGTCTGAGCCATGTTGGTAGATGCAGACTACTCGGTTGGTGTCCGCGTGACTATCGTGACCAATGGTTGGAGACTGGCTGACATGGCTCAGAATCGATCACAATGGTGTAGGTGTATACACTCTCTGTCTTCCCTTAAAATAAGAGATTAAAATCGTTTCATATCTTTCTTTCTACATACTAAATCTTTCTTCCTGTACTGTATACTTATATACAGTCTTTCTTTTATATATTATCACCATTGACTTAACCACTCCTATAAATCTGGTATTCATCTTGTTGTGCTAATGCGGTATGGCAACTTGGACCGATGCATATGTGGGCCTGGTTCTACGTTGTAGCTGACTGACTGACTGATATTTGTTTTAATGAATTGACAATAAACGTAATTAGTTAGGTTATCGCCAATATGAATTATGAATTAGTCTGTGTTTTTGTTTAAGTTGTATAATGAAAATACTGTTATGTTCTATAAAAATATACTTCAGGATAAATATTCAAGTTTAAAACATCTACGCCTATCACCCCTCGTAAAGGAGCATAAGCCACTGGCTAGCATTCTCTATCGAACTCTAACCTGGGCGATCCTTTCCATTTGTTATTCATTCTTTTGATATCTGGTTCCAATTCCCGACGTAGTGTGTTTAAAACAGGATATTAGTTATTTAAATGTGAACAATAAATTTTATATCTGAAATGTTCGATGTATAATATAGTTCTCTTTTGTTTTATCCATTTAATGACCGAATTAACTTGTGTGTTTTTTATAGTTTTCACTTGTTTCTAACACTAGTATTTATTCTCAGAAAATTATTTATTACTAGTTTGGGTTTTATTTCATTTTTGAAATATGTTGACTCCTTTAAATTAATAAATAAAAAACTTGTCATATTCAAGTTGTGACGTGCAATCTGTTGTTTACTTACGTGTTACATCTAAACTATTGATTTTCATTAAACTATATTCAATGAACTTCCGCTTATGAACTCTAGTTTTGTGCTGGTGTTTAAGCCCATAAATGGCACTATAGAACAGAGCGACATTTTCACTGTGAACATACGTTGGCATAGTCCAGAATATATTCCTTCTGAAAATAATAATACATACAAGTTTTATATAACTTTTAATACTGCTTAAGTGTTAAACTGAAGGCAGCCGTTCTATCTCCTACGAGGTCAGTGTATTACATGACATTTATTAAGATAACGTATTTTTCCAAGAATCTAGTTTTAATTCACATCTGTTCTATTTGGAGTCTACAAACGTTAATTTCAGCACATTAATCTTCAAATAAACAATGGGGATTCGTGGCTATACGGTCCCCCGTCTATAGAAAGACAAGAAAGTGTTCTTCTAAGTGCTATATATCACCTTTTCTCTGTGGCAGAGGTTCTTAAGGTAACTGAAAAAACTCCTCAGCCTCTATGACCTGTGACATGATTGTGTGTGATCAAGATAAAGTCTGTTTCCCTTCGATTATAGGGTCAGGCAACATTAATCAACCTTGCTTCCAGACACTTTAATAAGATGTAAAATACAAAGCAACGATTGACTGACAGGTGCTAATTGCCTGTTTCCTTCAGACAATCTGTTAATCTCACAATCACCAGTTTATTTTTATTATCTCGTTAATAACTTCATCACACTCACACACTCATACAATTTTCTACTCTGCAACAGTTACTAACGAAATACTACACAATTAAGCTTTTAACGTTTTAACGAAATATTAATAAACAGAACGATTAAGCTTTCTAATCAAATTCTGAAATTCTAATTCGTGAAATGTCTGTTGTGTTGTTGCGATATGCAAATAATATCGAAGTTTAACTCTTTGCCTAAACTAATATTTATATCAGATGGGTTTTTGTGGAGATTGTAGTAATTTCAATGGTTAAGATCATGAGTCAGTTGAAGCTAGACCACCATGGAAACGGCCGTCCAGTGCTTCTAGGTTTTCCATTATGGTCTAGCTTCAACTGACTCATGATCTAAACCATTGTAATATTTATATATTTATATATATTTGTGGCTTCGAACTATTCTTCTACTGATTGAAGCGAAGATGAAATTAATTATGAGTTTTAACAAAATATGTTAGCCTTATTTCAATAAGCAAAGTGTATGTATGTTGTTATATTAGCAAGCAATTGAGCAACGACTGTGGGTAAACTAATTAGACGCAACAATGATGTCTTCAGAGTCTCTCACTGTCAAGACTATGATGGGAATCGTTTGTATGTATTTTCTCATGAATAATCGCTTGTGATTAGTCAACCATAATTTTAAATTTACACTACGTTATTGCCTAACGTGACAGTCTTCAGCATCTACCTAACGACGAACATTTGAGAGTTCTGTGGAAGATAATTTCTTATATGGAACTTCAGTCATCCACTGACCCATATTTGAATTAGTTCAAGAAATAGAAAACAAGTTTCTGTTCTTAATTTTGAAGTGACGAGTAGTAGGGAAATGTATACTAGACAGCCAATATATTTAACGAATTAATTCTTTCCTTCTTTAACTCAAATAGGGCATAATATGAAGATAAATTAACTTAAATGCACACTGTATAAGAGTTTACACAACACCTTTAAGTAATAGTCATTAGTCCTAATCGTCGTTCTATGATTTTAGCTAGTTTTCATACACGTGTTTTAATTTCTTTCTCAACTTCGAAAAATAACATAACATTTAATAATAAATTTATTTTTTGTTATACCCCATTGAATAGAATATTGTATTTCTTACGTTTCGTGACCTAATGTAAGCCACTTCTTCAGAGTAAATAAATAACTGAAATTAAATTAACACAAGTTTAAACATGTATGGCTTACATTAAGTCACGAAACATCAGAAATACAATTTTTCTACTCATTGAATTATAGTAAAAATATATTTATTGTTAATTCTCTACTCAATGTTCAATTTGTTTGAAAAGCCATCAAGTCCAATCTTAGTATTGATACCTATAAGTCACATTTATTATTACTCTGCTTTATTTTTACTTTCGAACAACTTTTTATGAAATGCCATTTTTTGCCAACATCAACATTTTATTTTATATTGGAATTCTTTATTGAATCAGTAATATTCCAAAAACTAGATGAAAATATACGGTGTACGAGGTAAACAAATCATGTCTATCATATTTCCATTTTGGAATTTAGCAAAAGAAAACAGTGATTGGACATTCAATATATATATATATATATATACAATATAAAAACTTGTTACTCATCAATCTCCTTACTTTAATTGATATTCATAAGTTTATATAACTGAAGAAAAAAGTGTTTTAAATGTCTTTACTTTTTTAGATTCTGGATGTTTTTTTCCATGTCCAATCATTTGGACAAATAGTCAAATACATGGTTCTATAAATAATGTAATAATAATAAAAAAATATTTTTGGTGTTACTGTACTGGTTTTGATAGAATCCAAAATAAAATCAATAAAATCGAATCCCGCAGGCGGGATCGTGTATGCGCACTGCTGAGGAGTCCCACAATAGGACGAAACGGCCGTCCAGTGCTTCCATGTTTTCAATGGTGGTCTAACATCAAGCGGTTCATGATCTCGATCAAATCTTAACAATCTCCACAACCCCTACACTGATATCTGATTTGTATTGGCTGATCGGTAAAAATAGCTTCTTTCTTATTTCTGTCTATCTTATCATGGCGAATGGCTTTTAGTTCTGTTTCTTTTTATCAGTAGTACATTCTGTTCTCTTTTTCAACACTAATAATTACAATCAATGATGTTTTACATGTTATTTAAGAACTATGAATCCTGGCACCATTATAGGGAACCCAAGAAAATGCAACATATACAATCATTAGTCTAGTTTTTATGCATAGTGTAGTATTGTTAAGAGATTATCTGTCATCAGTGCCATGTTGCTAATATATGCTATATTCAATATATGTTCGGTTTTATTATACGATACTGCAATAGCATTTCTCTCTTAAGTCCAATATTCTAAAAACCCATACACATAGGATTTTTTATTTATTCAGCAGTGATCATTTAATATTTGTCGTTATCCGCAAACATTTGCGATCAGTTTTATACCCATAACATGTCTTTCTATCACACTACTTTTCATTGACGAATTCTATCGCAATCTCCTCATTTATTCAAAGCATAGCCGAGTAAGGAAATGTAATGTGGTTAGAGGAAGTTAATAGAATGCTCTGAACCTAGGTTTCGTGCTATTCGGCACTTTTCATCGAAGTGTGAGTGTAATTTTTAAGAAACTAATGTTCCGCGTCTGATTCAATCTAGTGTCGTCTAGCTTCACAATCAGAGGTGTTACCACTGTTCTATTCCGACCATGATCAACCTTCTTTATGACTGAAATGTATGTACTATTGATTGATCGCTGAATAGTAACTAACGTCATTCATGTCAAGTCCAAATAGCACGATATGTTCGCCAATCATTTCAAAAATAATTGGATTATTTTCTTCTTCATGAAGGACACGAACATTTCACCTAAAATATTTGTTCTTGTAGAATACCATGAATAATTTCCATACTTCTTCCCGAATAAATTGATGTGGGAATAATTTTTCTAAATAAAAAAGGATAATCTTACGTGTTCTTGTCTGTATTGAATATAAGTTCATTATTATATGGACCAAATTAAGTGACTTGCACATACCTTATAACTCAAATTTAATTAACCAATACTTGTTTTAAATAAATTCTAAGAAACAAATAAAAGTGTTCCAGTGGTTTTTAAATGTACTGTACAATAGATACAAACACAATTGTATGAATACATCGAAAATCTTCAACTGTGTGTTTTTGTGTTTGGTAATCTTTCGAACACATTGAATCCAGGATATTTGTAAAGAGCGAAAACACTGCTGATCAATAACAGCCAAAGTGGACAGTTAGAACAAAGCAAATTCAATAAAATATCTTCGCGTTTATACTGTATAGGATAAAATGTTTATCGTTAAATCTTATTACTCTCTAAAATATTGGTAATAGGTGACGAAAACTAATTATTTTAATTGTAACAAGAAATATACATGGTGTCATTAAGATGACAGTTTTGCATTGAGTTACAGGGACATTTAGTAGGCCTAAATGGAAAAATTGTTGACAGTGATATACGAACTATTATTTCCAAGTTATCCATAACATACAGAATAGTGTGATATGATGATGTGGTTTTGTGACTTGTTTGGAGACACTTTCTTGTTGATTCCTTATATCTTCACTTATACCAGTCTTTTGTGACTTCACTCTAATTCCTGGTTAGTGTGATGGTTCTTGTTTCCTAGTATTTAAACTATAGGATTAAGGAATTGAAGCAGTTCCCAACTGTCAAGTAAAACCAGGTAAACTGTGAACTCAGTCGGGTTGATACGTATATAACAGCAATGACTTCACAGTTATAACAGTTAGCTATCCAATTTCAACAGTGTCATCGAAACAAGTTTTCCGGTTATTAACACCTTTCTCATCATCAAGTAAATCAGTGCAGTACGGTACATATTTCATTCTTTTATTCCTATCAACTACATATTCAACTTTTCATTTGTTTACATAAAGTTCTATTTATACAAATGTCCATGTTTATGTGTATTTAATGTGGTTTATGTCTTCATATGCTACTAGTTATTCCTAAGTCTGTCAGTCTATTTTTTTTCTTATTTTGCTTCGGTGCATCATATCTCGTAAAAATTTATGGACACACTACTATATACTTAATATTATAATTATTACTATGTACATCATTCTGTTTTATATAGATTCTATGAAATTAATTTGTTTATCTCACATTTTATATTAATTTGAATCGATTTATTCAAGATTTTACATTGTATCCCTTAACTATACTTTACGTCATCTATGTCTACGTGTCTAAGAAAGAGAATTAAATGGGCCCTTTTTCTTGGTTTGAATGAATTGAATTCAATGAAAATATCTGTAGTGTAACACCAACAATGACAACAACTAGTAATGATAATATTAAATGCATTGTTGATGTCTAAAAATTTGTGTATTATGTATAACACATTTTTAAGCTGTAAGCAATTTTGATTAGATTGTGTAAGCATTTTAGTAATGGTAATTAAGTTGGAATTAAATGTTGTTATATGTGAATTGAAATAATGTTTAACTGAACTCAGTAACTCAATGGTTAACTCATTGAGCATTTGAAGCAAAAGCTAATGAGTTCAAGTCTCAATGTTGAACATCAATGCTGAATTACAAGAATACTTGACTAGCTAATAAGTGTTAAATAGAACGAAACACTTGTGTCAGATTCCACAGTACATGTGTCCTTCATGTTTAGTTAAATAATGTGGAAAATATTGGCTATTAAGTTGCTTAATGACAAGTGTTTTTAAAAAATCTTTTTGACAGTGTCTTGTTCGTTATTTCTAGTTCTGGTATTTATAATATGATTGTTGATTGAACTGCTTTTGAATTGAATACTAAAAATTGAGCAAAAGCTTTCATTTATTACTGTCAGCATCTGTTTATAGAATGTGCACTAGAGTGAGGAAGAGATATACCTGAATTCAGTTAATGAATATTTCTCATTACTCAAGAATTTATCACAGTTCATTGTAGTTTATCATAAAATTTAAGCTTATCAAACTCCGGATAAATCTTAGTGTTCTATTCGGACGAGAACAAATGAATGGTAACGGTTGGGAATTACGTATGGATTATACATATATTCTTATTGTATGACTATTAAGTAATTATATTATATGTATATTCATATTCTTTGCATTATAAGCTTTTATTTTACCTAGAGACTGTTATCATACGATTTACCATTCTTGTGATATTCCGAATTTATTAGTAACAGTCACAATCACGGCCACGTTTGAGCTTGATCTTGTACAAATGTTATTTTCTATTTTATGGTATGATGTGGTCTTGTTTTGCTTGTATATAAAGTAAATATGTTTTAAATATATGATTCGTATCACGGAGGCTGAGATTGGCGTTCTGCACTTACCAGGCAGGGAGCTAGGCGGGAAAAAAACCCAATCGGAAGTCTAGGCTGCTCGTACTGGTGTATGCGTCATTAGTTTGGTCGTATAAGTCAGGGTGTCTAAATTGGTAATTGCATAGCTAAGGCCATAGCATTTACCATGAATACTTTCTATTTCATAATACATAGTTATATCGCCTGATTACCAGGATAGAAAAAAATTAAGTGAATAAATGAACTTCAATTACTCCATATGCTCACTTCCTACTAACATGACTTTTTTCGTTATTTCTAATTATCAGTTTTTGCGTTTATTGTTTTTATTAAGATATCCACTACCCTATACTGATAGTTTATTGTTTTGTTTATACCTGTTTCAATAGGTCGAATCTGCATTTCGACGAGCCTTAGATATATATGTCAAACATCATAAGCCCTCATCACCTATCATACGAAAAGCCAAAAGCAATTTGGTATGTTGTTTTTGTGTTCTGTTCATTTCTAAAAGTTGTTTGTTATTTAATTTTCGATTCAAGGGGTTTTCTTTGAAAATTTATCAAGAAAACAAACAAACAAAAATTTGATGTATGTATGTAGGTTTGAAATAAAGAAACTGTCAACATGAAGAAGTGGAATGTTCGCTTTTATTTTACACTTCAAAAGGTTCTCGAATATTTTCTGTATTTTTTTTCGAAAATTGAAGAGCTAATTATCTTTATTAGTAAGCTTGTGATAGATCGATTTCACTCCTAATAAATAAGTGAATATTTTTTCTTCATTTATTGGTTTGTATCTTCTAGTTGACGATTGTTACTCGTGGGTCATACATATTTGAGTTGCTTCAGTAATAAATTCAGAGCTTCTTACACCTCATATGTTGTACATAAAATTTGTATGCAACTTCCCAATTGCTGGATATTTATAGTACTTTCAACTAAGTGTATTGTATCATCATCGAAAATATCCTTCTTCCAAATGAGAATATTGAGGTCTTACATTTTTATATCAACACGAGCAGCAATTTTTATCGTTGGTCAGTTATGAGTAACTTAGCTTCTGGTACGTTTATTCATGAGTTCAAGTTGTTACAACATAAACAGAAATGAAATTATCAAGGCCAATGTCAGGAATAGTTACAGGGATAAACAATATGCTTCGGGAACAAATAATGAATTTAAGGAGTGAATAGTATAATAGTGCTTCAGAACTTGAGGTCCAATCGGAAACAAAAAGTGAACACATCTGTACCATTACGATTGATTCTGAGCTAAATCATTCAATATCTAGAATAATGTTTAAAGACTGAACGAGGAGTATTACAGCGATAGTTCAAGTGATACGTCTCATAGAACCTGACAATGTGATGATATCCCAATTGTATAAATCATCCTTGACTGTAGTAAAATAAAATGATAGGATCTCTTATAAACTTTTGATGTTGTTCTCATTCAACTAGTTGGTACATAAAAACAGCTTTGAAATTGTCGTATGCGATAGAGTTTGTAAACTTAATATAGTACACATTGATATTTGTCATCTCATCAAATTTGAGAAATCTGTGAAACCTGACCTCTCTAAGTTGAGGATGTTAGACGACTCTCTGTGTTTGATCATCGTTGTCTCCGAAGGATTGCTGACATCCAGTGGTAACACCATGTTAGTAATGCAGAGGTTCGGCATCGTGTGTTCGGGCGCAGGGACGATAATGCAATTGGTGTCCCTATCTTGAAACATCGACTTCGGTGGCTTGGACATGTTCTACGAATGTCGTCGCAGAGAATTCCATGTCCTGCATTATTTGCCGACAGTGGGACTGGTTGGAAAAAACGGAGAGGTGGTCAGTGTATGACATGGTGTCATGATATGGAAGAAAGCTGTACAGAACTGGTTTCTATTGGTCCTTCATAACTCTGTGGTTGTGGTCCTAGAGATGGTACAACACAGTGGCTAGAGACATTATCAGACATGTCTCAGATTAGAAGCCAGTGGCGATTCTACTTCCACTTCCTTTTACTTCATAAATAAATGAGCGTAACTTCTTTAACTGAAAGAATTCTTTCTGATTGTACCTTTCTGTTTCCCTTATTATTATTATTTCACTACCATATACTAATTTGTGGTCGTCATTGTTCTTATTTTTCTTTTCACACGCACCTTATATTCTTTATCTCTTTCCATTCTCATGATTATTGTGTGGTGCTTATGTATCTTGTGCCCCTTTGTACCAATATTTATGTGTACAAATAAATAAACAAACACATTGGTAATTTGTGACGAAAAATTTCTTTCTATTGAAATAATACATATAAAATAACTAAATGAACTGTGTTGTTACACACAGTGCGCTATTGTTTTCATTATTGAAACTATATATATTACTTGTTTATTTGTTTAAAACATATTTTTCCACGTTTTTTAGGCTTCTGCATTATTGAAACGTCGAAATTTAGCTGATGCAGAATCTCTATTAAAATCAGTTTTAACACCAGACCATGGTTATACTTCAACACAGCAAAGAAGTCATTTAATGAATAATTTTTTACAGTCGGAAAATGTTGAACATGATTCTGCTATTTATTCATTATCTTCACTAGGTAGTAGTCATATAAGTAGTATTAGTAGTAATGGTGGTTATCGTGGTGTTGGATCTTTGTTGGATGGTGGTGTTGTTTTACCATGTGATTCAACTGAACAATCTATGATAATGAATTCATCTAGTCGACCAGTTAATCCATTATGGGTAATATTAGAACAAAGTATCAAAGATAATAATAATCGAAAATTTTCACTTGTTACATGGGCTTCGGAAGCCAGAATCGAACTGTAAGTTGTATATACTCTCCTATTATTTTTTATCTGTCAGATGGATAATAATTGAATCTTTTTTTATTTTTCTAAATTGATAATTATTGATAATGAGTGGAAAATAATATGTCTATGAATGAGACAGAAATCATCAACTTGTAGTTTGGCCTAACTCGCTATACTAAATTAATATGAAGAGACAAAATTGACAAGATGGATGACAAAACGAACTGAAATAATATGGTAGCAATGACTATGACTCGGAAAGACAATGGAAAAGTATTTAGGAAGGGATGCTGGAATACACAATCAGGAGGAAGTTAAGTAGTAAGTGTATCTACTCCGTTGTGAAGGATTCTGAGAGATGTTCCCATAAATTTTCTACCACTGATCGCCGTTATCACACGGATTCCAACCAGGCAGTCTGCACCCGCTAAAATGGTTCAAACCAACGGCCCATGACTTCGTGAACTGATACTGTATGTTGGTTTGGCCACTTCTGTCTTTCTTCCAACTTAGTCATACACCAGTCAGTAACACTTGTCCAAGTAGGCAGTGGTTTGGTATAACTAATACATGTCTCAATTACCTCAGTCGATGAAGGCTTGGAACCTCATAAAATAGTACTCCACCTTTACCTAGTAACTTGTGTCTAACATCAACCTTGCTCACTTGATCAAATTAATAGGTAGTTTACACAGAATATATCGAAACTAAACATACCTTTCAAACATTTTACTGATTTTCTAAGCTTGAAAGTTCCAACATAGTCTGATTAGAAAGCCTGAAATTTTCGATTATCTCTCCATTTTCAAATTTTAACAAACCTATAATTTTTTTATTTCTAATTGTCTTTATGATCAGTATTATTAGCGCAAGTAATTCATCCAATCATTAGTAGTCAGTCGCTGACTTCATAAACGAAAATATGACCTGTTATATTTAAAGTACATTGAAATTGTGTTGTATCTTAGGCGAATTTCATAAGATTCGAGCTAATAACAACACTGAAAGGTTTGATTACTTCGAGATTCGTTTCTTCCCGTTCAATTTACGTTACTGCTATTTATTATCAGTTTAGGGGTTGTGGAGTTTGTTTAATTTTGATTGAGATCATGAACCGATTGATGTTAGACCACCATTGAAAACCTGGAAGCACTGGACGGTCAAATCTTCCTATTGTGGGACTCCTCAGCAGTGCGCATCCACGATCCCGCTCGCGAGATTTGAACCCAGGGCCTTCAGTCTTGCGCGCAAACGCCTAACCTACTTAATCTCCACAACCCCTAAACTGATAATTACCATGTGCTCACTAGTGACTAGCTTCGTGAGGAAATTCTCGGAGTTCTGGTGAGAAGCCGTGACCAGTGGAGCTAATCTGTGTCAGGTTGAAACAGGTGTCTACCTCAGTACAATGGAAAATGGTCGCTCAACTTCGTGGATTGGTTGAAGTTAGACATTAACACCATTGGATGCCGGCTCAGTGGTCCAGTAGTTTAAGTGTTCGCGCGCGAAACTGAAGGCCCTGGGTTCAAATCTCGCGAGCGGGATCGTGGATGCGCACTTCTGAGGAGTCCCACAATAGGACGATTTGGTCGTCCAGTGCTTCCAGGTTTTCAATAGTGGTCTAACATCAATTGGTTCATGCTATATATTAGTTTGATTTTCTAACAGTCCATATTAAGGTATGTATTTATCTTCGTTTTTCGATTTCTGGTGTATTTTAGTTGTACAGTTTTGTTATTTTCAGTGTCATTTTGTTAGCTTTACGCTTTGTCGATGCAATTTTCCATCGTTATTTAATATTCCCTTGTTATTTTTAATAAAAGTTATCTTTACGCTGTCGCATTTCTTTCATAAAGGACAGATTAAATAGATCGATCTGTCTACTGTAATGGTTTAGAATGTAGTTTAAAGTTATACAGATTTCACTGAAACTCATTAAATATAATAATGAACATTTTCATTTATATCGTCATGAGTCGGTGGCTGGTATCCTCAAATTTTTCGTACTAACTACATCGCGAAAATATCTACGTAATCTAGTATCTTGTTACTGGTCATTCCTGTAAACTGGAGTGAATTCGGTAATTATTATTTTCAGAATATATTATTATTATTAAAGCAAGCATTTTTGAGTGCCGGTTTTATAAGTTTATTGTCGAAAAACCGATCGCAGTGGCAAATATTCTTTCACATCCTTTAAATCTTTGCGTTTTTCGTACTAGTTCTCACCCATTAAATGAAATTTCTTACATTTAAATCTCGACCACAGTTGATTTATATTTAATTTCCATCCTCCTCTCATCTTGTTGATTTCCACTAGCGCTGACTCTCTTTGTGTGGCATCTGCTACTTTGAAAGCCATTATAGGAAGGACTCTCGTTGTATTCATGAAACTATCTTTTGCATAATCTGTGGTAGCAATCACAGCAACAACAGAATCTTCGTTAGTATTCGGGTGATTACTTATTAAACATAATAGAGCGTCCGTCTGACGGTACTGAATGTCAAAATCATATCAGTGTTATCTACCACCTCTACCGTGTATTTTCCGAATGTACCGATATTCTAAACTTCGAGCCAAAAACTGCTAATAGGGGTATTTAGTCAGTAAAAAATGTGAGGTGTCTGCCGTATAGCATTTTTGTAAAAACTATTGATCTACAATTTAGCTGACAGGCTGGACGTTTTGTGAACAATTTTAAGAATGCTGTTTTACAAGCTAAGAGAGATGTGGGCTGTAAAAGAAATCATCTAACGATTCTTACCCGTTTACAGGAGTACTAACAATAGAGCTTCAGAGCAAAAGTCACTGGCGGGAGCACTAATAGAATGGAAGCTGTGGACAGCAAATGACGCAATGAAACTAACTAGAAAGGAAGGTCAACAGGATGACATCTTACGCAAGACAACGTCAGTAGTGTATATCCATGACCTCAGACCTAGAAAAGAACTTTGGGAGAGGAAGAGTCATCTTTGAAGTGGCCGTAGAAGGATAAAAATGAATGTGCCATGGGAACCAGAAACGTAGAAGAGCCATCAGAAAGAACTAGTTGAGCTTTGGACACCCTCCCTGATGTAGTAAAATTCCAGAACAAATACCAAGTCTGATACAAAGCGGAACAGAAGCACTATCACAAGAACCTACCGAAACGTTTTTACCACTAACAAGCAAGCGACGGCGAACGAGGATACGTAATTCAGACAGAGTGAAAGCTTTTCCAAAAAGAGAATATGCTAAGATGATCACAAGAACAACTAAATTTTATTAAAATTAGTAAAATCTTTTCAGGAGCTTTAACCGCCCGCGTATTCTTTTCTAATCTGATTTCCCTCATGACTTTTTCCCTCTGATTGTTTGTCATTGTTTTTAGTTCACCAAATTCCTATGTGCTTGAAGGTCATATTTTGTAACTTTCGGGGACTGTTTGCTTGACACTTTCTTAACACATAAGATCACGTGCGGTAAAAAATTCCACTGAGCATCCATATCAAGTTGAGGGTGGACTTTTCAATCCACCTGCTGTAGATTGTCCCTTAAAGCTGATACATCCAACCGTTTAAAATTCTTATATCTTTTGCTATTAGGATGTTTTAGCTCAGTTTTGCTGATTAAATTCAGGGCTATGACGGTGTGATCACTATTTCTCAGGGGAGCCAGGATCTGGAAGTTGTCTGTCTAAGCGTGACGGTGTCTTACTGTTTCTTCACCGTGTTACCGACTTCACATTTTCGATTAGTTCAAAATCTTAAATGAAGTTAAAGAACCGAGTTTCAGTAGAGTTGTCACCTGCAATGTACATGTGCTCAACAAATTAACTTTAGCAAGATTGAAGTCTCCTAGAACTAGGATATGTGTATACCTAGGCGAATAGAGAGGGATAATCCCCCCAGCATACGATTGTCGTACTTGGTGTCAGCAGTAGACTTCTTGTTAATGACTCCAACTGGACATCTCGAGGTGTTAGCCAATCTCGCTAAGCACCATACAGATTTATCAAATTTGATAAACTATTGAATACACACTCGATGTGCTACCAAGCACGATCGTAGGTACAGGGTGGCTCCGCCCATCATTCCTGTTTTTCGGTCTTCGCTTAACAAAGACATACCGGGTATTGCCACCTTCTGGTCTTTAGTTCAAGAGGATGATCATATCTCAGGTATTCCCGTTAGATGCTTATTACTAATGTTAATTAGTTTACGGAACTCGTTCATTTTGTTCGGTATACTCGCAGCGTTCATATGTAGCAGATTATGGTTTTGATTTGAAACTCGTGAGCTTCCTCGTTCTGTCTGTCTGAATAAGCCATATGTGAATGGATAGGCATCCCACCCATACAGGATAATAGTCCCTGTACCTTCTATATTTTTCTACGTTCTTGACAGCCCACATGTGGAATAGTCAGTTCAAACGTGCATTTGTGCTTAATGCTTGCATCATGGGGCCTGTTTAGATGCATGTGGGTTCCAGTTGGTAAAGCGTCTTCTGGCACGAAATGCTTAGGGAGTGACAGCCGTCATTTGGGAAGATGAGGAGATTATCTCTATTAGCCGGGGTCTAGAATTCCTTCCCTTCTTTGATAAACATACCATTTGTTTATTGAATACATTCTTAAGCTCCAAGGTTTACTTTATGAACTTCTATTTTAGAATACCAGTGTCCGTGTTTTATGGGACACTTCGCACAATAATGTTTCTTCTGCGAAAGAACTCGTGAGATTCTTTAGGGATGTTCTTGAGATTACACCTAAAATATGGTATATCAGGCAGTATACTAATATCCCCTTCTGAGTTCAGCAAATGATCGACCATTAAAACATCCTCTACTTCAACAGTGTTAGTGAATGCTATACGAAGTCTTAGATGATGATCGTGTTTGATGTTTCTCCCTTGTGTAAGCTGTGTTACCGTTAAGTGCTTAATTTTGGAAAGTTTGAGCTTCCTATTTAATTCTTCCCAAAGCATCCTGTCGCTTTTATCCTACAGACTGAGGTGAAGTTCAGATCTGTCTT